GTGTGTGTGTGTGTGTAAGCAGTGAACACAAACAGAAAAAGACTCCTCACCACATTTACCTCTTTAACTGGCAGTGACTTGTGTGTAAACCTGGTGATAATCAGACTAATCTAAAGAGTCCTGCTGAGTTTGTGTTTATAATGTCGAGTTGTTGATGATTGGTGTGTCGAGCAAACTAATCTTTTAATGGTCACCCCATTGGTGGACTATCATTGTTTAACTCAGAGATGTTGTCATAGCTGAAGCTGTAACAGAGGGAGAGCAAAGTTTCACACATTCCCTTTAACTTTACTCTTTGTGGAGACCAGAACTTGTATCTAGCGTCCCTTTATGTTTTCTGTGGGCATTAAAAGCACTTGTTCTGAATTGTTAAAACAGGAAGCGCTCCATATCAGCGAGGCTGACCTGTTGTTGGAGGATGTCCACTCCTCCCAGCATTCCCTCTGTCGAGCCTCTTCTTCCTACTTACATCCCTCCCCTCCCTGTCAGTTGTACCCCAGCAGCCCTACGGAGGTAACCCGGACTAATGACCCCTGCATGAAGCCCTGCTGTTCCCCCCCTCCCCTTGCTGTGTGTGCGACTCATCCCAAAGGTCACCCATTGTACTGTTAGTGTCCTATTCACACACACTTTCTAATTGCACCTGTGCCTGGTCGGGTTGCTTTTTCCAATAGTTTACAACAACTATGTTAAAAGAGGAGCCAGCACAGTAGCTCTAAGTTGAAGTTGGGTCTGTTACCACCCCAGGGATGTAGTGGAGGGTGCACTGAAACCCACATGTAATCCCGCTATGCTGACCATTTTATAAGTACACGAGTAACCAGTGTCAAACAGGACAGTAGGGGTGTAACAGGAGTCACGGTTCGGTTCATGCCCTGGCTTTAGGAGTCATGGTTTGGTGTGAGTTCGGTACAGCAGGACAAAATGCATACATTACTTTTCATCTGGGTGATGCCGTTGAATGTGCATCAGCATGTTTGATGTGTTTTCATTCACTTACGGTGTCTTATCCCCAGCTCTCTGTTGCTGCTGTAGCTGACCGGGAATCTGGATTGTTCCCAAACAAGTCATTTAAAGCACAGTCTTCCAGTTCAGGCGTTTCAATTGCTCTGGCCATAGTGTGACTAACTCGCACGCCAATCAGATTGTGCTGTTAACCTCAACACATGCTGCTAACGGCGCACGGCTAAACATTTCTATGTGCGCTTATGTACTTCAAGCCTCAATCTACATAATGTGTAGTCTGCGTGCAGCTGCGTTCACCGGACCGTGACTGTTACACCCCTACAGGAAAGTATGTAATGATGAATCAATGCGTTTTAGAGGTTCATACCTCATGGTGCTCAGCAGCCAGAGGTCACCATTTCAGCATCTTCACCACTACATCACTGGTTGTGGTAACAGCCAATAAAAGTACCTGTGTGTGATATCCTGTGTGCAGGACGGTTTTTGAAGCTAAAGATGCACTTCCTGTTGCTTGGTGTGTTCCTGTTTGACTGTCTTCACATGCACCGTGCACCTTTTTTTAGCTGTAATAACAGCCAGTTTCTCAACTATCTCTATGGGCTTGTGTGTTTGTTTATGTACTGTACATAGAAGTACGGTACAGTGTTGTCCTCATGGCTTCTCACCCTGTCTGACTTGTTGTTGGCTGTTGGCTGGCGGTCAGGAGTACATGAAGCTGTCGGACGTCTATAAGATGTACGGTGGCAGTGGCCGCCACGAAAGCATCAAGCCCGCTTCTCAAGGCCGCTCGTTTGCCATAGATGCTGCATTAGCTGGCGCCTGTGAGGTACCATGACTTCCTGTCTGTCTCTTTCCTGATTGGCTACTGTCTTGACTCTGATTCTGTGCTCTCCTCTCTTTGTCTCTGTCTCTCCATCCTTCCATTTTCATGTCATGTTGCTCCCTCTGCTGGTTTGCTGTTAATCAAACTGACTGTACTGTTGGCTTTGCTCTCTGCTATATGAGCTTGTGGTGTGAGCAGCTGCTCTCCTCCCTCTGTACTGTGACTGTATCGTGTCAGCAATATACAGCTTTCATTAGGGTTGGGCCGATAAATGCAGGTTTATCTTTAAGGCAACCAAAGGCTGGTATTTTGTATCAATAACAATAGTCAATAATAGTTTGTACACTGTAAAATAACTTGATTTGTTAATTAGATTGTTTATGTCAGTGTCAGTAGAATACCTAAGTTTTAATACTGGTACCAAGGTATTTAATAAAGGTATTTTAATGTGTGTGCTTAATAGAAATGAAAGGAAATGAGGTGAGGGAGACAGATGGGAATAATGTGCAACAAACATATATTACTACAAAACCAGTTTTTCTGTTTATCTTCTGATTAACGTAACAAGCAATACTTGACCAATCAGGGTTGTCTGCAGGGTTGGAATTTTAGGCCTTAAAATGTCTAAAATATTTTTTATGCATTTTTGGTCTAATATATAATTTAATTGAATTAAGTTTAGCCTGTTGAAAACAGTATTTAATTTTTTTAAACACAACAGCCAAAAAATAATCTAAACAAATACAATACAGTCTAAAATGAGCAAAGTTGTGGTTTAAGTGAGGAAGTATCAGTTTTTGGTTGGTCCCCTGTGATAGCCAGCTCTAGTAACATATGAAAGGTGATGTGTACCTGCTACAGACTATGTTAATGGCAGCCTGCTGTGGCTAAACGCTGGCTCCATATATCAGTCCAACTCTGATGTTGACAGTGTGAGTCGTGCTGTCCTCAGCTGTGTGTTTCCTTTCAGACCCCCTCCCCTCACACCTTCATGATGCAGAAGGTCACTAGGTGTACTTGATATGTTTCCCTCCTGCTGCCTGTCTTGCTGACGTGTGTGTCTTCACTCCTGTCTGTCTTTCTCCTCCCCTCTCCCTTCTCCTCCTGTGTGTGTGTGCTGCCTTTGGGAAGGAGTATGTGACAGTGGGCCAGTTAAATCAGATGTATGGGATGCCAAAGGTGGAGTCATCCCCCACATCCCCGCTTCGCCAGTCCCTGCAGCCTGGAGCAGTAGACCCCGCCTTCTCCTGCCTCCCCTCTCCTCATGGCTCCTCCCTCTCTCTCTCTGTAGAGGTGTGTCTTCCTTCCTTCCTTCCTTCCTTCCCTTCTTCCTTCCTGTCACGAGTTTAACCAAAAAGTTGTCTTTTTTTTATGATAACGTATACTAACAAATCAGTTTGAGTTAACTTTCTTTTCTACCGGTGTCAAAATTCTGTGATTTGGTTGGTTTCTTCAGTCCTCTATGACAGTAAACTGAATATCTTTGAGTTGGTGGATGAAACAACACATTTGAGGACATTGCTTAAGTCAGTTGTTTCCAACTTGGCCTTCTTGATTTTAAGGGGTGTAAGAATAATGTAAGAAAATATACACATTAGGCCTAGCAGCATTTTGTTAATTTCTGTCAGGAAAACTTGATGAAATTGTTATTTTTATTATTATTATGTTGACTAAACTTGTCAACTTATCAAGTCCACTTGACTCTCTGCTAAACAGCCTCATGTTGCATTAGAAAAGTATTCTGCTAATACAATAATGGCCAGGCATAGAGGAGAAGAAAACACAGAATGTGTCAAAAAACATGTGTATTAAGTTTGCATGTTGTGAAAAATGTGGGAAAGACATAATAAAGACTAAAAAACTAAAACAAAAAAAGTTCCTAAAAATATCAGGAAATCGAAAAAAGATGCAATATTCACATGAAACAATCTGCTAGAACTTCCTTCAAATCACTCGTTTTACACAACCTCCTGCAGTTATCAGTGGAGAGTTTGAAAAGGCAACAACAGACACGGTGTTGTGTGCATTGTCACTGAAGAAAGAACACATCAATCCTACATTTGTTAACTGCCCCCCTGGAATTGTTTCCATAAATTATGTTATTTGTCCCAACAGAAATACTCCAACACTTAAATGAGAGGACATGAGACATGGACATGAGAGTAACAGATTTAGCTTTTGTTTGTATAAGCTAAATCTGTTACTGTTACTTACAGACATACAGGTGGTGTATATTGTAAGTGTCACAGGATGATACTAGACTCTTTTCCTGTCACTGTGGAAGTCCGTGGAGACTCTGTGATGTTACTGTATTCGTCAGAGTCAGGAGCTCCTGCTGTCTGTTGTTCTGCAGGTTTGCCTCCAGTCACAGACTCCCATTGTTTCCAAAGATTCACCAGAAGTAGCTCACAGCCATGACTTTACTAATATAACCCATCACATTTGATATGGTGTGTAATGAAGTTTTCCCAGGCCATGTCTCTGTATCCTAAAATTAGACTGTTGTATCAGAACTGAAGCTGAATGTTAGCAACAGCTGCATTACGTAAGCAGCATGTCTCAGTCAGCTGTTTGAAAGGGTTTTTCAGAACAACAGAGAGAGAACAGACACGAACCCAAAAAACATTTAGGCTGGAAGAAAACAACATAAATCTAGTTTTATTCTTTCAGATATGTGTGTATTAGGGTTACACATGTCCTGGAAAACCCTGAAAATCTGGACATTTAGAGACTTGTTTTCCAGTCCTGGAAACACCTGGAAATCGATCAAAATGACCCGAAATAATATATGTTGCACTGGAAGGCTTTATTGTATTTTACCCCCTTAACCTAGGTTCGAAGAAAACTGTAGTAAGCTGCAGTCAGATCACCGGAGATGGTGAAAAGACCTGTAATAAACCTGCGTCACCTCATCATGAACGCTTAATCATAAAAACTAAAACTGGAGATAAATGTATAAATACTAGGCCTACTGCTAAATGTTAGGACCATTTGTAAGCAAGTGCTGGCCTGTATTGTCAAGAAAACTTAAAATGTCCTGGAAAATAATTTCTTAAAAAGAGTGGGAACCCTGATGTATGTATGTCGAAGGGTGAGAACCAGAGGGACATTCTGGGCAAAGATGAGTTATTAATCAAAAACCAGAAGACAAACTGAACTATTTGGGGTTAAAAGGGTGTAAAGTGCACTTAGAAGATTTTTTTTTTTTCATTACAAGTCAAAATATGGTTCATCAAGTAGGTTGTCAAGTTGTAATATTAAATATTGAATTTAATAAACAAAGTCAGGGCAATGTATGGTCATTTACTGTGTTGGCCTTCCTGTAAAGTTGGTCCAGTGTCACTTAAACATCATTCTGGTTCTCACCCCTCACTGTACGTGTTATGCTCCAAGTACTTAAAACTTTAAAAAAAAAAATCAGATGTTAACTGTTCTCGTGAGAAACTGGGTCACTGCAGCAGCTACATAGAATTAGAATAGAGACATGTAAAATAGGGATATAGCAGCTGGAGGGTATAAAGCATAATGCAGCTGACAACAATAATGTGTTGAAGCTATTTAAGAAGAAACCTTAATTGCAGCTTTTGAGGGTGTTTCTACCCTCTTCCTACTGTCTTTGAATGCTTTCTAAACTCCTCTTGTCTTCTTCCTTTCTCTCCTGTCCTGCCTCTCTCTGCCGCTCCGCCGTCTGCTCTCCAGTACCAGTCTGAGGGCAGTAGGCCTCACCTCTCCAAGCTAGATTTAGAGCAGTGGTACCAGGAGCTGATGGCTGGCTCCAGCCAGCTCTGTCCTCCCCCTCTGCCAGCCAAGTCGCTGTCGGGCCGCAGAGCTGTGCTGCAGGTAGAGGGCCTCTCTTCTTTTCTACTCATTTCTTTTTCACTTGTTCTCTGCTGTGTGTGTGTTATTATTCCTCTGCTCAACCATCAACTCGCTTCAAGTCACATCCGAGCAGCTGATTGTGTGTCAGAGGACTAGAGGAAGCTGCATTCACGTTATATGGAAAAGACCATCTTCTCCATTGAAAAGTACACTGCAAAACGACCCTTCTAGAAACAAGCCAAATATTCTTACATATAATCAAATTTTCTTGTATTGGGCAAAGAAATGCCATTGCCAGTGGGGTAAGCCAATTTGCTTGGCTATAATTCTTAAAACCAGCATAGAAATCCTGCCACTGAAAGACTGTAATGGGCCTTAAAACAAACAAAACAACTAGAAAAAATACCAAAAATGGCTGAAGGTTGTGCTGATTACAAGCAATGAAAACTCAGTTATTTAAAAACTTATTTATAGAAATCTAGGTCACCTTATTGAGCTGAAATTAATCATTTGAATCTTAATCTAAGATAATAATAATTTAATTTTTTCAGATTATCTGTCTCATGTACACTCTCAGGATACAGTGATATTTTCAGCAAATATGATAAAAAATATATTTTTATAAAAATGACCTACTGCAGCTTTAATATTAGTCTGACAAATGAAAACAGAAGTTGCATGCTGGAGCTTTTTCTTGGAAGTGGAGTCTTTACTTTGGAGTAAAACATCATGTCTTAAGTCTGTAATAAAGCTGAGAGTGATCGCCTGTAGCAGATGTCTACAGACTTCAATCACCACTTAAATAAAGTTAGAATGTGTGTGTGAACACTTTCAACTCATTACTTTGAACATCAAGTCATTCCCATAGTACATGAATGCAGCATTAACTTAAGAGAGCCTGATCAAAGAGCTATTCAGTGAAAGGGACTAGGCGGCTGTTCCAAGTGCGTGTGTACTAAACTGCAGCCTAACTCATATTGTGTGTAGGCTCTTTGATATTTTTTCCATCAGTCTTTGATGCTGATTGAACCTTCATTTATTAATTCCAGCGTTTTATTTGAACAACATCAGCAGCACTCACAATGCTAATCATGCTTTTAACCGTCGTTTTCCAGCAGGTGCTTTCAGCTCATCCATGGTGGATTTCAGCTGTGCTCCTAACATTGTTGTCACCATCTGCCGTCACATGGCTTTGTTTTAACACACTTCCTCGTCTTGACCTCTGTGTACTTCCTCAGGTGTTCCGCTCTAAGCTGGACAGTGATCCAGGCTTGTCTTTTCATCAGCCTAAATCAGGCTCCGCGTCCCCTCTGCAGCACGGAGCAGCGACACTGGGACGCAACGCCAGCTCAAAGGTAGACGTCTTCAACAGGTGTACTGATGTGTGTCCACCACAGTTCCCTCTAAAATCCAGATCATTATTTCAGCCCCACATACACCAATTTCTGACCTTTATCCCTAACATTACTGCTCTCTCGCACCCGGCAGAGCCCCCTGCTGGCGGCCAACAGCACCGGCAGTCTGCCCAGGAACCTGGCTGCAACCCTACAGGACATTGAGACCAAGAGACAGCTCGCTCTGCAGCAGAAAGGTGAGTGACCTGGACCTGAGTTCATCCCAAACTGTATCTGATGCACACTTTTTTTAACCGGGTGCAACCGCATATTGAACTTTTATGCCGGCGCATTGATGCAAATCTGTAAATCTGACCGTCCCTACGAACAAATAAAGTGCCAGTTGCAGCAGCTGGAGATGTTCATACGACTATGGAGCACGCGTACATGTTGACTTTTAGAAGGATACAAAGTCACAGAGTTAAACATCTCTACATCTTTTCATCATGAGTAAACACTGTAGGCTGTTACACTGTTCTGCTCTTCTTCCCAGAGCTCTGTGCATGTGTGTGCATGTGTGTGTGTGTATGTGTGTTGTTTGACTAAGTGGATCAGAGGAAGGCAGGCAGTGTTTTAGCTCAGCTGGCTGCCACCCACGGGTGCGGGGTTAGTCACATATGTCAGTGTCTGCAGTTCAGGTTTTTCTTCATGTCTGTCTGTCTGTCTGTCCCTTTTTTTGTGGTCTTTTACTGCACCGCTGCACCACAGAGCCCCAGACCTCCAGACAGAACACCATAGAGGGAGGCTCAGCAGGTAGATGGATCGCAGCGTCCAGGAGATGATGATTTCTTCTGTTTCCTTCATTCTGTAGAGCGGGATTCATCCTGTTTGTTCATGTACTGTCTGAAATTAAGTGTGACGTGTGTATCTCTCCTGCCAAGGGTCAACACGAAACCTGCAGAGAATAATCTCTTGTTTAAATGTCCTCCTGCCTGTTTTATTGCTCCAGTCACTGAGCAACGGGTAACCCTTACTTGTACAGTGATATGAAGCAATGTATTAATTAATCATTAAGCTAACTTGAAGTCATTAACAATCCAGACAAAAGAGAATCAGAGTATTGGATGCCAGCACTGTGCAGAGAGCATAACAGCCAATCAGGAGCCAGTTTGAAAGCTTCAGCACAGGTGAAGACCAAAGACTGTATGTACCTAAAAAATTCAAGTCTCATCCAAAACCTAAGCCAGTCTGGCAGGTTACTTTTATGATTTTATCCATCAAAGTTAACGTTTACCACAACTTGACACTTGGCGGCTGTGAATTTCAGACCCTGTCTTCCCCTAACCTCCCCCTCTCTTCATCCCCCTCTCTTTGTCCCGGGCGTGTCATTAACTCCTCTCCCCTCCTCGAAGATTTCTTTTCATCTTTTGTCTGTAACGTCGGGCAGTCTTTCTTCTTCCATCAATCTTCTATGAATGTTCCCGCTGGTGGAGAATAAATCTTGCATGTTCACCGTTCAGCGAGCTCCTCCTTTGGAGTTATCGACCTGGGCACTCCTTCCCAGATGTGTTTTGCCCATTATCAGGTGCACAGCAGCATGGATCTGAAATGAGAGTTAGACAGATGGTGAACTTTGTGGTGGCGGGACTTTTTTGCAGTTCTGCTCGAGCTTGTGTCACTAAGAGAGCACATACTTGTATGTGTGGTGCGTGGTTGTGGGCTGGTGCTGGTGCTGGTTCAGTTAAGGACCTTCTCTATAGCATGTTGGTTTAAACGTGGTGGTGTCCCAGCTCTTTAGGAAACAGACGGACCTCTCTCTGCTGCCTCGTTGATCGGGTTGCTTGCAGGTTTATAGCTCCATCTTCCTCCTCAGTTCAAAATGAGAACGCACCCACTGATCATCACCCTCCTCCCTCCAGGTCAGCAGGTGATCGAGGAGCAGCGCCGCCGTCTGGCCGAGCTCAAACAGAGAGCGGCGGCCGAGGCCCAGTGTCAGTGGGAGGCGCTCCACGGCTCCCAGCCCCACCTCATGACCTCGTCCTCCTCGTCGCCCTCCTACTCCCCAGTCATGTCCTATAGCCCCGCGCTGAGCCACGGCTCCGTAGGCCCCCCACCTCTGGTCCACCACTCCATCCTGCACCACCAGCCCCCGTCAGCCGGAGAGCAGCCCTACGACACGCTGAGCCTGGAGAGCTCCGACAGCATGGACACCAGCATTTCCACGGGCAACAACTCGGCCTGCTCACCAGATAACATGTCCAGGTAGGACGGAGGAAACATACGCACTTATTTAGTCCATCCTTTGAACCCATGAATTAATATGAGTGAGAACATCCATATCACAGAATCAGCCAGTGTTACTAAGCTTGTCTGCAAGAAGATATTAAAGCAGCAACAAGGATCTTTCATTTTGTGTTGATTCTGGTGGCCCCTGTGGACAATAACACAAGTGTCTTTACCGCCTCGTTTCATTGATTTCAAGGGGTTTCACATTCCTGTAATGAGGATTGGCATTGGCTGTACTAGGACAAAGTCTTTCAATGATGTATGTATTGGCTTATATCTCATCCTCACATATCTCCAGGCCTGAATGACTGATGACTTTTGGACATTTTGAATGAATGTCTTTTGAGTCCATTGTTTTACTACTAGTTGTATCTGAGAATCTATGTCTTGGAAAAGTTTAATTGAATTTCAGCCTGTGCCATGGCTAAATTAATGTTACAGTTAGAGGA